ATTTTTTTTAAAAGGTGGCAGCATTAATTTCACAAACTAACCAAATGTGGGGAATTTTTTCTCTTCTTCTCAGTGCGAGAAATTACCCACAAATTCAGTGGCTTAAATTAACAACAGGATCAGGAATTGGGGTAGAGATCATCTGAGTGATTCTTCTGCTCTCCCTGTCACTGACTGAAGTCACTTTGTGGTATCCAACTAGCAAATAGGCTGGTCTGGAGAGGTCAAAATGGCATCACTTTACATGCATTGGCTGGAAGGCTGAGTCCTACTGGGACTGTTGCCTATAATGTCCACACATAACCTCTCCAGTCTGGCAATCTCAGGTGAGGTAGTAGGTCTCCTTACATAGCAACTCGAGGATCCAAGAGAGAGTGTTCCAAGACACAGGAAGTGGATGCAGCCATTCTCTCAGGTCCTGGGCTCAGAAACATAGCGCCGTTTTTGCCATAGTCTACTGGTGAAAGCAGTCACTGAGCCCAACCAGATTCAAGGAGAGGAGGCATAAACAGGCTGGAGTCATGGATGTGCGACTCTTAAAGAACCCCAAGTGCTCAACACAAAAAGGACCCCATGCTTGGTTTAATGCTCTGTTGCCATCTTGAAATTCTTTTAATTTTTTAATAAAGGGCACTACATTTTCATTTTACACTGGATCCCACAAATTATACAGCCCATCCTCATCATAAACCACCTTTCAATGAAAGTAGTGTTAAAAAAAATTGTAGCCAGGGACACCTGGGTGGCTCAGTCGGTTAAGCATCTGCCTTCGGCTCAGGTCATGATCTCAGGGTCCTAGGATCGAGCCCCACATTGGGCTCCCTGCTCAGTGGGAAGACTGTTTCTCCCTCTCCCTGCTGCTCCCCCTGCTTGTGCTCGCTTGCTCTCTTTGACAAATAAATAAATAAAATCTTAAAAAAAAATTGTAGCCATTCTTAATTAGCCATAAGCTGTCTACCAGAGACTTTATTCCTCACCATACTTCTATATTCAAAGCTATCCTTTCAAAATGCAGATTGCAGTATGTGCATTAAATTTAGCATGAAGAAGGGAAACAAATTACAAGGTTGGAAATTAGACTAAACATTAGACTAAATTCTGTGATGTTTTAGGATTAGGAAATTCATTGAAAACCAACCACACTACCATCCTGAGTAATAGCTAGCACTCTAGATCTAGATTGGATCACCTCTGGGCTCACCCAATTAGGTCACTTAGGCATTAACCAACAGTTATCCAAGGTCAGTATGCAAGCTGAACTTATACATAGTGTCCCCGATGAGAAAGGCAGCTAGTAATCACTATATAGGGAACACTCTCCATGATCTCAGCAAACCTGGATTTGTGTTTTAGGGCAACTGGAAAAACTATTTAAAGGTTATTAAGGGGGACGCCTGGGTGGCTCAGTCAAGTAAGTGTCTGCCTTCGACTCAGGTCATGATCCCAGGGTCCTGGGATCACGTCCTGCGTTGGGCACCTTACTCAGCAGAGAGCCTGCTTCTCCCTCTGTCTGCTGTGTGTGTGCACGTGCTCTCTTTCACAAATAAATAAAATCTTGTTTTAAAAATAAAGGTTATTAAAGAAGGCAGTGACGAGGGCGCCTGGGTGGCTCAGGTCATGATCCCAGGGTCCTGGGATCGAGCCCTGCGTCGGGCTCCCTGCTCAGTGGGAAGCCTGCTTCTCCCTCTCCCCCTGCTTGTGTTCCCTCTCTCGCTGTCTCTCTCTGTCAAATAAATAAAATCTTAAAAAAAAAAAAAAGGCGGCAGTGACGATTCGCATGCTTTTTGAGAACAGGACTGTATTTAACATCTCTTTGGGTCATCAGTATTTTGTTTTCTGAAACATGTTTTCAGCAGGAGTTCAATAAGGGTTGCTGGGATGAATCTAAGCAACAAATGGCATAACAACAATAACAAAAACTACAAAAAAAACAAGATTGATAGACACAATAATGGAGAACAAGGTCAGGAAAACAGTTAAGTACGGTACTTTGCATATAGTAGGCAAGGATTATCAAATTAAAATTATTGATGTGATAAACGCAAAAGGTATAATTATCCAGGAAAAGTTTCTTAGAGAAGGAAGGTAGATGTTGAAAGAGGTGGGGGTTGACAGTACTGAAAGGAAATAGAAACCATATTGGTATGAGGAGAAAATCAGCTTGTCTAGGCTGGAGTAACATGGGTAGAGGGATGTTACTGGATAGATGAGAAGTGGGGAAAGGAGAGACTCATTGCGTTGGGGCACTGAATACCAGGCTGCAGTATCTGAATTTACTCCACAAAGTGTGGCAAGTTTAGTGTAGTGTGTTACTGGTTTAGAGGTAATGGGTGATGGCTTTTATTTTATTATGCAAGCCTAATAATGGAAGTCTTCAACTGAGGTACATTCTAAAGGAGGTGCAAGATTAAGATGCAGAATTTTGCAAAGGAGGTGGTCAGAAACCTGGTAGATGACCCTTAAAGCATTGATCCACATTGAGGGTACAAGAATTGAAAGAGATCAGGGGACTTTATTTTTTTTAAAGATTTACTTATTTTTAGAGAGAGAGAGCATACCTGCGTGCAAGTGAGCAGGGGGAGGAGCAGAGAGGGAGATAAGCAGACTCCCCACTGAGTGAGAAGCATGACGCGCGGCTCATTCCCAGAAGCCTGAGATCACGACCTGAGCCAAAAATCAAAGAGTTGGACATTTAACCAACTGAGCCACCCAGGTGCACCCAGAAGGGACTTTAAAAGGGAGAGAGTTCCTGAGATACTGTGATAGTGGGAAAGTTTTCCTTAATCTCAGGAGACAACCTGAAGACTTAATATACATCTCCTGGAGTTTGAAGAATGTAATGGCCTGATCTCTGATTCCCTCCTGATGAAAATCTAAAGGGTAAGAGAAAGGATGACTAGCTACTTGGATGGAGAATTGGCCTGCATTCCCAGAATTCTTCAGAGCAAAGACTGTGCTGTGTTTCCTACTGTGGTAGATGTTGTGATGACCAAAAGACTTGTTCCTCCGGCCACTGGAAGTGATGCCAAAAAGCAGCCCTCAACCATCAGACCCCATGGGGATTGTTTTGGCTGAAGAGAGTGAGTTGATGTCTTGCTGGTAAGAGGGTATAAAGCCCCAGCCCTGCACCCCAATTTAGGACAACTGTGCAGCATCATCCCAGCTTCAGAACTCTCTAAAGATTGGCTGAGGCCTCCATTGAGACTGTAGCAAAGCTCAACTTCTGCTGCTATGCAAATGTGCTTCTTTTCCTTTCCATAGGTGTTGATGCCAAGGGCACTCCCTAATAAACATCTTACATGGTTATCTCCATCTCAGAGTCTGCTTCCCAGGAAACCTGACCTGTAACACCTGTGGATCTTATGTGGGCCTCACGGGCAAGTGAACTGGTGGATCATCTTGAATCCGAACAAACATCAGCAGAGAGTAGGCTTAATGTATCGCTGGATTCCTTACAGCTGGTGAGGGAGGGAGCAACAGCCTGAATAGAGCCACACCGGTGTGGGTCAAGGGAAATGAAGATTGAAAGTTTTCAATTATGACGGGGAGAAGGGTCTTTGAAGAACTTACAAAAGTACCTATGAGAGAAAAGGCCAAATTTAGCAGTTTACCAAGTCCAAAGAGCACCAACATCCAGTTCACAGGAGTGTCAATCAAATAAAGTCTTTCCTGTCCCCTCTCCCAGGCTTCCAAACCTGGCGAGGCTAGAAGCCCAAGTCAGGTGCAGGTCCAAGTACACAAGACAGGGTAAGAGAACAGATGTCAATACTACTCCTCTGACTTTAAAGTCTAAAAGAGTTTCCCCATCTTTTAAATGTTTTCATATTACCTAAAGCCCACCGTTGCCCCAAATAACTGTAATACTCTTTCCCTTTATTTGGTGAGATGTCCCACAGTTCCCCTGATGTGTGGCCTCCAGAGTCCACTGCTACAAAAAGTCAAAAAAAAAAATCTCACCTTGTCTAAAGTTTGTCCCTCGTGGTCTCAGGCTGTAAAGTCTAAAAGCTTTTTCTTATCTGGTACTATGTCTTGCTGGTCATTCCAACTACTTGCATACTGAGAGATACATAGTGAGAGGCACACAGCAGGAGCTCAACACGTTTCTCAGATTTCCCAACTGCCCTCAGAGAAGAGCGCTGGGTCAGGGGCGGCAGCAAGCACAGAAACAGGGGCCGCGAAGGTGGAGCAACCCGGGACCCAGGTCAGCGCTCACTGTGAGGAACGCTCCCGTCAGAGGACCTCGGGCTGGGTAGAACCGGCTGAGAGAGGCCGTGCGCACTGTCGCCCGTAGCCCCGGACTTAAGGCAGTAGTGGTCTCGCACGTGCGGCCACCCCTCTGCTCGCTCTGCCCCGCCCCGCCCCGCCCCATCCGTCGCGCCCGCCCTGCGCTCCGCCCCACCACGCCGTAGTACGCACCCACAGTACTGCTCTGTCCCGCCCCGCTCCGTCCATCCCGCCCCGCCCTCCTTGCGCTCTGTCCCGCCCCTCCCTGCTGCCCCGCCCCATCCATCCTGCCCCGCCTACCTTGCGCTCTGTCCCGCCCTGTCCTGCTGCTCCCCATCCATCCCGCCCCGCTCTCCTTGCTCTCTGTCCCACCCCTTCCTGCTGCCCCGCCCCACCGTCGCACCCACTCTGCGCTCCGCCCCACCACGCCGTCGTACTGCGCCCACAGTACTGCTCGGTCCCGCCCCGCTCCGTCCATCCCGCCCCGCCCCCCTTGCGCTCTGTCCCGCCCCTCCCTGCTGCCCCGCCCCATCCATCCTGCCCCGCCTACCTTGCGCTCTGTCCCGCCCCGTCCTGCTGCCCCTCATCCATCCCGCCTCGCCCTCCTTGCTCTCTGTCCCGCCCCTTCCTGCTGCCCCGCCCCACAGTCGTGCCCGCCCTGCGCCCCGCCCCGCCCTTCCGCCACACTCCGCCCCTTCTTGCTGCCCCGCCCCGTCTCGTTTGCCGCGTTCCGCCCCCTCCTGGTACCCCGCTGGCTGGTAGGGGCGGCCACAGGCGTAATGGGGACCGCCTCGTCGCTCGTGAGCCCTGCGGGCGGGGAGGTGATCGAGGACACTTATGGGGCGGGCGGCGGCGAGGCCTGCGAGATCCCGGTAGAGGTGAAGCCCAAGGCCCGCCTGCTGCGCAGCTCGTTCCGCCGTGGCGCGGCAGCAGCGGCGGCGGGGGCAGGGCCCGGGTCGCTGCCCCGCGGGGCCACTGGCGGCGGGCTGCTGGGGGCTAGCTTTAAGTCTACCGGCTCGTCCGTGCCGGAGCTGGAGTACGCAGTGGCTGAGTACGAGCGGCTGAAGAAGGAATACGAGATCTTCCGGGTCAGCAAGAATCAGGAGTTGTTGTCCATGGGCCGCCGCGAGGCCAAGCTGGACACGGAGAACAAGCGCCTGCGGGCCGAGCTGCAGGTAACGCCGGGCCCGGGTGTGCTGCTGGGGCAGCCGGGACGTGGAGAAGCTGAGAGTCGGGAAGGCCGGTGCACGTCCGCGCACTGCCAGGCTGGACTCTGGACGCCTGACTCTGTCCTTCGTCCATCCTGTTCCCTCTCCAAACCAAGTAGTTTTGAAAGTTGGGTAGAAACCGCTCTGCATTTTAATTTGAGGGGACATGTTTCTTGGGGTCTAAACCGATTCCTTAACTAATCCCGCCCCTCTTCTATTTCTGGTTCATTCATTCACACACCTCGATGCACCTGGCCAGAAAGTGTCCTGAAGCAGCAAATGCCAGTCTGCAGGGGACTCCAGGGAAGTAGGTCCGCCCAGAGCACACGGACACACAAAAGACTATGGTGACATCTGTCGAAGCAACTCATCAAACTTTCCCTAGGAGTTTTTAACTCCACTCCTCGCCTCCCCCCTTAAATTTTACATACCTCTCAGTTTCTTTGCATGAAGCTTTTGAGTTTTAATGATCTTGAAGTGAATTTTTATGAAATTATTTTCACCATTTTAACTGCTGTGATTGAAAACGTTCCCTAGGTGTAGTCAAATCCCTTAATCCATTTGATTAATTTACTCAAAAAACAATTATTGCGTGGGCTCCCTATAGTAGATGTATTTTGACTATCAAAATAGTATATAAAGCAAAAGGTTGCTTTTCTATGACCACAGTTGTAAGACTCTGTGCCATCAGTTTGGGGCCTCTCTGAGGGTTGTGATTTCACTGTTTTGTTTTTTTAAACTGTGCAAGAGACACCCCAGGTGTTCCTGGGCTCATCACAATTGAAATGATTAAATACCTCAGACTGATTTTTCTGATAGGAAGAGCCTTCTTCCTTCTAGACTAGGCATTCTAGTCACCCCCTTCCCCACTAGCTGTTGTCTTATTAGCACTGTTATCTGGGAAGAACTGCTTATCAGCAGCCTACCTGTTGTCTTACCAGTTTTCGTCTTGATGCACTTGCATGTGAAAAATGGACCTGATGCATTTCAGATACCTGATTTCATGCTCCCAAGCCATTGTCCAGTGGACACTGCATATTATGGGGATAGGAAAGAAAGCTGGATCAACCAGGGCAGAGTGCAGTAAGGGCTGACAAATGTCAGTCTCAGGTTCCTCCTGTTACCTTAGGTAGTAGTTTTGAAAGTTAAATAGAAAACACTCTGCATTTTAATTTGAGGGGACATACTCTCTTGGGGCCTAAACTGATTGCTTAACTAACCTGCCCCTTTTCTTATGTAGCCCTTTTGATTCCTTTCTCACATATCTAGGCATTAAAAAACTCTTCTGTATTTATTTAACCCATTCAGTCAGGCATTTACTGGAGGCCTTCAATGTATCTGGCACCAAGAGGGCTCTGGGGATAGCAAAATGAAGAAGACATGGAGCCAAGGAGTGCATGGTCATGCAGAATTAATTATCTTTCAAGTTAAGCCTTATAAATTACACTTTCTGTTCTGTTACAGATGGGAAAACTGAGGCATAGGAAGATTAAGAATTTGGCACAGTATTTCAAAGAAAAAGAATTTCCATTAAAAGTTCAGTGTGAAGTGTCTTCATTTACTACAGTTCAAGCATATTTGCATTTTTTTCATTCCATGTTTGAATAAAATGGCAATATGTAGTTCTTGATAACGTAAAATAGTAGATTGTTACAATTCCGAGATATGTATATAGTATGTAGGTAGGATAATGTGAAATTTGGGAGGAATACTATTTTTGTTAGAAATAACAAGGTCCATTATTTCAGGCCCTTCAAAAAACTTATCAGAAAATACTTCGGGAAAAGGAAAGTGCTTTAGAAGCAAAATACCAAGCAATGGAGAGGGCAGCGACATTTGAACATGACAGAGATAAAGTGAAAAGGCAATTCAAGGTAAATTCCTTATATTTTTACCCCCAAAGTGACATAGAATAAAAACAGCATATTTTAAAAGTTTATATAATGCTGCATAGATAAATAGAAGTGAATGATGTAGGAGTCCTGAAGGTTCTAAGAACCAGAGTAGAGCACTTCTTACATTTTTGAGTTGGACCTGGTAAATTTGAGATTGCTTCAAGGAAAAAGTTTTAAAAAGTGAACATTGCAATAGGAAATTATTTCCATATGGGGGGAAAGGCATTTGGAAATATTTGGGGATATTTTGTATGGGAAGGCATTACTGGCATCTAGTGGGAGGGGGACAAATTTGCTAAATATCAGCAGTGCACAAGACAGCCCGATGCCACAGACAGGGCTCTTGCCGGAATTCCAGTGGGTTCCAGTTACAAAAAAGAACCAAATGAATATTGGTTTTATGAATGAAAGATTTTTCTGTTAGGAGTTGATGACACAACCTTTTGATTGTGGAAAACGTTTCAAAATTGATATTTGTCTTTTAAAGATTTTTAGGGAGACCAAGGAAAATGAAATTCAGGACTTACTGAGGGCTAAGCGAGAGTTGGAGAGCAAACTTCAGAGGCTCCAGGCTCAGGGGATTCAAGTATTTGATCCTGGAGAGTCTGATTCAGATGACAACTGTACAGATGTTACTGGTAAATTCACTTCCTATGTATAATATTTTGAGCCTTCAGTATAGGTGTAATGATATCATAGAGCCAACTTTGAATCCTTTTATAAGTTACAAGTGGTTGCTGTTACAAATAGAGTTGCACTTTCTCCCTCTTTCTCAGCTGTTACAACAGCAGTTTTCCATAAAGTCCATGACATTGTTGGGTGCCAGGTTTCCTTCTGTCTTAATTGCTCTGCCAAACTCACCCCATAGCTTTTCTCTTTCTGGTGTAAGACAGCTCCTCCAGGTCTCGCCATGACATCTACACTTTAGCCAAGGGAAGAGGAAAGGGAATCCATTCCTCGTTCCTCTCCTGGAAAGCATACTCTGAAAGGTATACAGATTACTCCTCAAACCCCATTGGCCAGAACTATAAGCAGGAAGATTGGAAAGTGTAAACATTAGTAGGAGAGTCATGTATCCACCTAAAGTTTGAAATTCTGTTACTAAAGGAAGAAGGGGAGGATGGGTTTTGGAGGACAGTTCATAGTCTCTGTCACCTTATTTTTCCCCATAATGATATATTCTTTGCAACTGTCCATTAGGATATCTGCCTGATATTCTGCTGAGTGGCTTCCATTGCAGTTTTGTAAGCTACTCGGAAAGTTTTTATTTTATAATTAAACTTAGAAAATACGTTTTTTTCTACAAATAAAGAAAAGCCTGGAGTCCTAGAATGAAAGGGTCTACCGTGTTCCAAGAAAATATTAATAAACTGTGATTGATACTGAAAAGTGAAAAAGATTCTATTGTAAATGCAGTGTAAAAATGCAGTCACTCTCTATAGGAATCTGCATTTTATTTTTTTTTTTTTTTGAGAGAGAGAGCATGCTAGCAGGGGTTGGGGGGAGCTATGGGCAGAGGAGAGAGAGAATCTTAAGCAGACTCCATGCTTAGCATGGAGCCCAACTCAGGGCTCGATCTCATGACCCTGAGATCTTGATCTGAGCTGAAATCAAGAGTCCAGTGCTTAACAGACTGAGCCACCCAGGTGCCACATGCATTTTATCTTGCAAACTGATTTTGAAGTAAAATATGGCAACTGATATTGCCTCTTAATTTGCATTTTAGAACCACTGGAGTCTGACCAGCATCCAAGGATTTTTATTACTAACTTTTGAGGGGAAAAAAAATGAAGTGATTCTTACTGGATTTGAGTGGCTAAGAGGATGCTCTTCTGCCCCCACATTCATCTTAGTGGTTATTTCAGTGTTGACATATGTTAAAATGTACAGTGTTTCCAAAGTATTATATAGTAATTGCCTTGGCAAGTTAATAAGAACAAATTAATATTTCCTCCTAGGTCTTTCTTCATATTTTGATTTAAACCTGAAGAGAGAATGCTTGAGGGAACATCGCTCATTTCACATTCAAAGACCTACAAATAATAATCTTATTTTTGCCAGAGATTGAGCCCATTACTAGTGTACTCTTATTTAGTCAAGGATGCCAAGTAGATATTCTGGCAAATGTAATTTATTTAAAAAAAAAAAATCAAAGATCACCTGGGTGGCTCAGTCGGTTAAGCATCTCACTATTGATTTCAGCTCAGGTCATGATCTCAGTGTCCTGGGATCAAGCTCCACCTAAGGTTCCATGCTCAGCAGGGAGTCTGCTTCTCTCTCTCCCCCCCCGCCCCTCCCCCCACTTGTAAGTTCTCTCTCTCAAATAAATAAATAATAAATCTTAAAAAAAAAATCAAGATGTGCATAAGTACCTGTTGATTCAGACATTAATTTTGTTACTCTGGGAGGTTAAAGAAGATGTACTTTTTACATCCTTAGCTTACATCCTAATGAATTACCAATCTTAATTACAGGTGTGTTGGTAATGGTCTTCCTTTGAAATTCTCTCCTTCCAATTTTACACTGACACCTAAACCATAATGTTAGAAATGTTTAAAATTTTTGTATGGGGATATTTTTAACTGCCTCTGTTGTTACAGTTCCTTTGATTATTATATACTTTATTTCTTTTCATCTTTCTCTTTTTAATCCCCTCTTTGAATTTGAGATGATAACCAGAATTATGTTAACCAGCACCTTAGAACTTGCCAGAAGTTGGTGACAGGGTACTTTCAAAATCATTAAAGATTGAATATTTTCTGTATTTATAATATTGGAGCATTTTTTAAAATTAGAAATCCTGTTTATGCCTGAGTAGAGGGGGATGGAAGGGATGGGGTGGCTGGGTGATGGACATTGGGGAAGGTATGTACTATGGTGAGAGCTGTAAATTGTGTAAGACTGATGAATCACAGACCTGTACCTCTGAAACAAATAATACATTATAGGTTAATAAAAAAATTAAAAAAAAATAAAAAGGGAAGGCGGATGTATTAAAAAAAAATCCTGTTTAGTATATGTGGTAACTTTTTGAACAGTCAGTAATTTGGTTTTCATAAGATGAAATCTCTTGTATTTACAGCTGCTGGAACCCAGTGTGAATATTGGACCGGAGGAGCCTTGGGAAGTGAACCTTCCATAGGGAGTATGATCCAGCTTCAGCAGTCCTTCAGGGGCCCTGAGTTTGCCCATAGTTCTATAGATGTGGAAGGACCCTTTGCAAATGTCAACAGAGGTAACACATGCCATTTGCCAATTACCTTGGTAGTGACTGTTCAGGTACTATAATCTTGTGTGTACTGGAAGAAAGACCACCAGCAGGGCAGGAGATTTTTATTCTAGGTGACTTCCACTGCCAAACCAGCATGTACTGGTGCTGTCACTGACCAGGGCTCATTAACTTACATGCTTCACATCAGGATCCAGATGATGCTCCACAGCCAGACTGGCCAGTCAGGTTCTAAAAACTTAGCTTCTGGCCTGAATTCTAGGTGTTGCCGTTGATCAGTGAGAATCTAATGTAGATTAACTGAAAAGCAGGTTTTGGTCTTTTCCTCCATGTCTTTGATGCTGTTAAAGGTTGGACAAGGTTGCAGAATGGAATATAAGACCTCACTTATGCAATGTAGTATCCTTAGTCAAAAGAATATTTTCATTATTTTTATATAATTTGGTGTCCAAAACAGCTCTAAGGTCTGCTCAGAATTTCAATACCAGGGGCACCTGGGTGGCTCAGTCGGTTAAGCGGCTGCCTTCGGCTCAGGTCATGATCCCAGAGTCCTGGGATCGAGCCCCACGTTGGGCTCCCTGCTCAGTGGAGAGCCTGCTTCTCCCTCTGCCTGCCTCTCTGCCTATTTGTGCTCTCTTTCTCTGTCAAATTAATAAATAAAATCTTTAAAAAAAAAGAATTTCAATACCAGTGCAGATCTGAGTGTTATAAGTAGCCCCATTCTTTTTTCTTAAAACTACAAAATTGTCTATTAGCAAAATGAAAATAATTTTTTAATTATGGCTTTTGAATTAGCCAAATATGTCTTAAAATGTTCTTTCTCACTAAATAGCATTACATTTTATGCTATTCTTAAGGTTTCTTTTTGACTTAATATATCTCAAGAATAATAAGTGGGTAAAACTATAGGCCAGCCTGGGAATGTAGGCTCTCCTGAGGTTGCAAACTCATTGAGCAGCTCATGTAACATAGGTTCAAGATATCTGACTGGAACCAGCCGTGCCTCAGCAAGGACCACTGGCAACATTGATTGCTTTATTCCCAAGGGTAGAATTTGAGGTTAGAGAACTGTTCGCCTTCTAATATGTTATTCCAGAAACTGTGTCAGTATTCGCAAGTGGAGATCAGATTCCATTCTACCTTGCCTGTTGTGTTTTTTGTGTGATTGTGATTTTTAAAAAAATTGTGTTTTTTGTGTGATTGTGACTTTTAAAAAAATCATCTTGTCAGATGTTTTTCTGGTGATTTTTTTTATGGAACTTATGGTAAATTTTACTTTCAGATGACTGGGATATTGCTGTAGCTAGTTTATTACAAGTTACTCCCTTGTTTTCACACTCTCTGTGGAGTAACACTGTCAGATGTTACCTCATTTATACAGATGAAACCCAGCCTGAAATGGATCTTTTCCTTAAGGTGAGGATGTTTATAAATTCTGATTTAAAATACAAGTCAATATTGTGTCCCATTTATGATACTACTACACCTAAACCAAGTAGTTTACCACCTACCAGATTATATATCTTAAAGAGCAGGAAGAATTTAGAGCTTTTCTTTAGAGAAAATCTTGCTCAGTTGTTATCAGTACATTCACATTAAGTCCTTGGAATGTTATGCTTTTGAATGCTTTATTACATGTTCTCCACAGTGTTTAAGACACATGTTGATAGTGCCTGCTTTAGTTAATATCTGCCCACTCTATTGTTGAATCTGTTTCAGGTTGTAACATAATTTAACCCTTATCATGGTTTTTAATTTTTCAAGGTAGCCATTGGAGTTAACCTCAGGCAGAGGTGGGCATACTATATACAGCCTGTGGGCCAGAGCTAAGATTGCTTTTTACCTTTTTGAGTGGTTGGAAAAAAATCCAAAGAAGAAGAATGTTTGTGACATGTGAAAATTATAGTAAATTCAAGTTTTAGTGTCTATAAATCAAGTTTTATTGGAACACAAGTAGGCTTATTCATTTACATCCTATGGCTGCTTCACACTGCAACGGTAGAGTAAATTGCAGCAGAGACTAAATGGACCCCAAAGACCTCTGCCAAAACATCCAAATTGTTAAGCTGTTACTAATTTGTAAGAATATTTGCCTTCTACAGAAAAAGTTTGCCAACTACTGTTCTCACTGCATTTGAAATAAATCTGCATGTCACATGTGATACCCACTATATTAACATTCTCCAGAGTATTGAGTAAGGAACTTATTTAGCGTTCCTTTTTGATATTATTCAATTTTGGTAAAAAGATTAACTCTTTTGAAAACCAAAGTTTCGAATCACTAACTGAATATAGGTTATTACCAAACTGCAAACTGATGTTAAGGGAATTCCTCATTTATTGCATAATAATAAGTCATCATTACTTAGTAACCTAATTATAAAACTATAGACCAACATAGTTTTCATTTATACCTGTTTGCTTTAATGTTCTAATATATCATGGTGGACAGTTTTTACTATATAGATTCATGGATTTATGTTTTCTACTCTTTGTAACAATAAAGCAGAAATCATTTATTATAATAATAATATTAAATACCAAAGGAAAATAGCCTAATATTTTTCTTTACTGGTTTAGGTGTTATTATGAAATAAATCATTTCAGAGCTAGGAAACAGCCAAGTTACTAAGCTCTTATTATTTTTGTTTTAAAGGAAACTTGCCTTTTCTTTTAAAGATTTTCTTTAAAATATGATTATAAATATTTTTAAGTTTTAAATAAAAAAATATACAGCATAACCTGTTCTAAAACATGTTTTATTTTAAGTAGTATGAAGCTGACTTGATCTTTAGTTAAATAAGCTGTGCTTTTTATTATGTTTCATTTCTTTTGTTTTGTTTTAATTTCTTTTCAGGACTACTCACCTAAACTTAAAAGAATGTGTGAGACAATGGGATGTTTTTTCCATGCTATATATTTTCCAGTAGATATTGAAAATCAGTACCTTGCTGTAAGAAAATGGGAAATTGAGAAGAGTTCATTAGTTATTTTATTCATTCATTTAACTTTACCAAGGTAAGCTGAAAATTCTGTCACTTATTAGGGGAGTTGTAAATAGAACTGAGATTGCCAAATGAACTTCAAAGATAAGTCGTAATTGCATTCTTATAATCAAACACAATCCACAAAATTTAATAAATTTTTTTACTTTTCATACTTAGAATTAAAATTTTACACTGAGTTGTTTAATAGGTTTCATAAGGTTAACATTATTAAAGTAAAGATGATTTTAATCAGGGGTAGCAAACTATGGCCCTCAGGCCAAATCCAGTCAGCTGTTTTTATAAATAAAATTTTATTAGAATATAGCTATATTCATTTATTTATGTATTTCTACAGCTGCTTTCACACTACAACAGCAGAGTTAAGTACTGTAGATACAACAGAGACTGTGTGTGGCCCACAGAGCCTAAAATGTTTGCTCGCTGGCCCTCACAGAACAAGTTGACAACTCCTGATTTCAATAATCAGCATTCACCTTCATTATTTTCTTTCTTTGAATACAAATTGAGAGCTACTTGAACACTATTATCAATGTTAAATCAAATTTTTAATTCTCTGAGGAGCTTACTACTTAATTCCAGTAAAGTGAGGTATTTTCTTATAATGTGAATATAATTATACCAGTGAATCTAGTCTGCAAATAAAGATTTTCTTTAACCAACTAGATACATAGATAGAAGACAAAATATGTTTAATAAGAGGTTTTCTTTCTACATTTGCTGTCTGATTGGCTTTAACCCTTCCAAAGCATTTTTGTCTTTATTGAGGACCAGCTCTGACCTCACCTGTGTACAGAGAAGTATGTGGAGCCCTAGGCTTTATCAGAGACCCTGCAGTGTAATCCATCATTCATCCTTAAGACTGCCCAGTGGCCAGGGAGCCACCTGGTCAATGAACCTCAACCCAAAACAACTTTAAGGATTCTTTCCACTTGATTGCCTTTAGTTGGGGTTCTTTTCCTCCCTTACCCCTTTCCTTTTCCTGTTTTTTTCTTTTATATTTATTAAGGATATATTCTGTTTTATTTTTTAATGTCTGGATAGTGTTTTATCTCTGGTGGTAATATATGTCATTTGTTGTTTTCCTCATTAATTATTTAATCCTTGAAACCATCTTGTTTTTTCTTTTAACTTTTATCCATATTTAATTAAGAAAATATTGTACATTATTCTTACACTTTTAACATTTATTTTTATTTTTCTCATCTTAAATTCCTCTTAATCTTTTACCTTTCATTTCTTTCATATTTAATTACTTTGCTGGGCAGATTTCAATTTATCTTCTTCAACTAAAATTGTATTTATTTTATATTTTAAAAACTTTATTCTTCTTAAAGAGTAAGAATTTTAATTTCTAGGGGTGCCTTGGTGACGCACTTAAGCATCTGACTCTTGGTTTTGGCTCAGGTCATGATCCAGGGACCTGGGATCTCCAGGTCCCGCGTAGGGGTCCACACTCAGTATGGACTCTGCTTAAGATTCTTTCTCCCTCTCCCTCTGTCCCTCCTACCTCTCTCTCTCTCTCTCTCTCTGTCTAAAATAAATAATTTAAAAAAATTAATTTCTAAAATTTAATTATTTCTTCACCTCTACTTTGCCTTTATTTTGCTTTAATTTTTCTTATTCCATTTGCTGATTTTTTTATTTCCCTAATCTTTATTAGGAGCATCACAGTAATGGTGGGCTTCATACCGTAAACGGGCTGGTAGAGCTTTTATTTCTCTCAGGTTGTTCCTTCACCTCTCATGATGATTCCCCCATTCTTCTCCAAAGATGAATCTAGAAACATGTCCCCTGAGCAGTACCCAGTAGCCCTATCTACTTCTCTCCCACCAAAGACTTTGAACAAAATCCCAGATAATCTCAGATTTCATCTGAGCTCCACATGTCAATTCTGTAGGGAGTGATTTTAAAATAGGTACATGTGCCCAAAGAGATGCCCATTCTTTGGTATTCACATGGCCACAAACTTTTCTCCCAAAGCAATAACAAAAGAACCGTTAAAATCCAAAAATTTTATAGAACATAGTCTGAATGATCTTAACCAAGGGAAGAAAATCTGCCGTTTGGGTTGATTGGATCGGCACAGAGCTATGTAATGGAATATTACTCTGTCTTGTACTGGGGCTGTACTCTAACATGGTCTGTAGACTCTGAGTCATATAATAGCTCTCCTCTGTATGCACACACCAATGTGCCTCTCTAGACAAAATTCACTTAATGCTTTTTAGAAAGGGGAATTGGTTCCAATTTTCCTTGCAGTGTAGAAAACACTGGTAGGTACTTCCGAGATTATTCTAGAATTTAAATTATACTGAAAACTGTCATTATGGTACCCTATAGCAAAGTTAGAATATTTTTTAAAGATTTTATTTATTTTTTATTTATTTGAGAGAGAGAGAGAGAACACAAGCAAGAGGGAGGGACAGAGGGAGAGGGAGAAGCAGGCTTCCCGCTGAGCAGGGAATCCAATGTGGGGCTTGATCCCAGGACCCTGAGATCATGACCTGAGCTGAAAGCAGAGGCTTAACCGACTGAGCCACCCAGGTGCCCCCAAAATTGTAATTGTTTTTCACCCTGTACCCCAGTTAAGATTTTACTAGCTATCTGACCTCCCCATCTGCCTCTGGATCTTTCTCATACTGTATCTTGGGTATAAAGATTCAGGTGATTTAGGTCATTTGTTGGATGAGAAAGGCTAAAAGACTAGAGAAGAGAAAAATCTTGAAGCATTGGGGTTAATAATATTTGTATTTTAATTTGGAAATTATATATTTGTAAGCAGAATTAGGTTTCCATTTATTTGTAGTCTCATGAGACTGGTCCATTATTTTGAGCCATGTTTACAGTATTTTTGAGAGTTTTCTTCTTGTTGCTAGATTTAAAAAATTAAAGTTCTGTATGCTTTAAAATTCAACTTAAGGGGCGCCTGGGTGGCTCGGTAGTTAAGCGTCTGCCTTCGGCTCAGGTCATGATCCCAGGGTCCTGGGATCGAGCCCCGCATCAGGCTTTCTGCTCAGTGGGGAGTCTGCTTCTCCCTCTCCCACTCCCCCTGCTTGTGTTCCTGCTCTTGCTATCTCTCTTTCTGTCAAATAAATAAATAAAATCTTTAAAAAATAAAATTCAATTTAATGCAGAATTTATTGTACCTGTTCTCACTGTCTGCCAATAAATGCATTATTTTTTATGACTGAGCTGGAACAGAGCTATGAAAACATCCAGTTTTGGAAAGCTGCACTTATTCTGTCCCTGGGCTGCTTCTGGCCCCTTGTCATTGCTGTAAAGTCCCATTATTGACACTTAGGTTGACTGACTGTTTGCTGCCATAGTGCAGTGTAACACAAGAAATACTGATTTCCCATCTAGCCTGTTATTGGAAGACTGTGAAGAAGCTTTTCTGAAAAACCCTGAAGGCAAACCACGATTAATTTATCATCGCTTGGAGGATGGGAAAGTCAGTTCCAACTCCGTCCAGCAATTGATTGATCAAGTTTCTAACCTGAACAAGACCAACAAAGCCAAGGTAAAATTCATAAGGTTATTTTTTTTTAAGAACTTGCTTGGCCAAGGGAAGTGTTAGAACAAAGGCCGTGAGGTGGGAGTGAGTGAGGGGAGATTAGTAGGACAGTTAACTGGGAGCCAAGGGTAAAGAACCTTGGAGACCATTTTAGAAACTTTGTTTTTTTTATTTGGAGTGAGATGGGTTTTTTATTGGTAGTTTTTTGGGTTTTTTTTACTTGAGTCACTGGAAGACTTTAAGCAACAGCAGAAGAAATGCAATTCTGATAAGAATGTTGTTACGCTGCTGTGTTGAGAATTGATTGATTTGGAGGTAGGGGAGAAGGGTGGAGTTGGAGAGCTCTTGCAGTCACCAGGTGAGAGGTGCTGGTGGCTTGGACCAGGGTGGTGATAGAGGAAATGAGGAGAAACAGGAATCTGGATAAGTTTTGACAGCAGAGCCAATAGACTTAGTTGTGGACTATGAGAACAAGAGAGGACTAAATAGCAGTACACACCTACAAAGGATAAGATGTGAGTGGACAAATCAGATTCTTTTCTGTTTCTTTTTTCCTAAGTACTGAGTTCTTCTGTCTACTGTTGACCAAGGGTCAGTGTAAGGAAGAGCCTTTTCATAGTAACCTTTTCTAAGAGCGTTGGGAAAAGCAAAATAGTAATGATGAATGTGAGAGATTTGATCAGTCCTGAGTGCATGGTGGAATAATTTTTAGAACAGATTGTAGGCTTTGCCTTACTGCACACTGAGATAACTTGAAAATGTTTACTGTTGATGTTAAGAATACAGTTGAGGGGCACCTGGCTGGCTCAGTCAGAAGAGCATGCAACTCTTGATCTCGGGGTGAGTTCAAGCCCCATGTTGGGTGTAGGGATTACTTAAAAATAAAATCTTAGGGATGCCTGGGTGGCTCAGTTGGTTGGGCCCTGCCTTCGGCTCAGATCAAGATCCCGGATCGAGCCCCGCATCAGGGATCGGGGTCCCTGCTGGTGTGGGAGTTGGCTTCTCCCTCTCCCTCTGCACCTCCCGTGGCTCCTGCTCTCTCTCTCTCAAGTAAATAAACAAAATCTTTAAAAAAAAATCTTAAAAAAAGAGAATACAGTTGAAAACAACTCAGATTTTGACATTGTTTTTATTTCTCTGTGCTCATGCAAGAAATAAGATCAAATGTGAACACAAGCATTTTTTTATATCATTTAGTGTTGAAAAGCTTAAGACCAGCATAAACTAAAGAGCCTAACACAAAAAAGTGCACATTTTTTTATAATCTCCAGAACCATTTCATTCTTTGCTTTGTTTTAGTATGAGCCTAGTCCATAGGCCCCAAGAGGAAAAACACTGATTCTTCTTTCTGATCTTTATTCTATTTATAAATCCCTTTTAAAAATGAATACACTAGGAGGATGAATTTATTTTATAAAAATAGGAGTAAAATAAGATCAACCATGATTATAGATGTAAATGCAAGGTAAACTTCTATTCCAGTTCACTTGATGTGCTTTGTAAAACCATTGTCTTTATCAAGTATTAATCTCTTATTAGTAACATGCATGTTCTCTGTAGGTAGGGCATTCTTCTTTCAGCAAACTCAGAAGACTACTGATCTACACAGCCAAGTACCATTTTGCCTTTTTGTTTTGTAGAATTATAGCTTTACTCTCATAAAAATTGATTTTGATGTATTTTGAAGGTTATATATATATTAAATGGCATGGAAGTACATAAGACAGAATTTGGACACAGAGAAAAAAAGTATACTTTTTGTTTTATTGAGACATTGTTCCCATTGTTCACAATAAATCCCTCCTGTTACCTTGAACAGGTTACATAACTTGCTTCAGTTTCCTCTTCTGTGAAATGGAGGTAATAATAATAGTGTCTCCCTCATGGGCTTGTTGTGAGGACAGATGAGCTAATATGTGTGAAGTACTTAGAATGATCCCTGACAACATAAGTTCTATAGAAGTATTTACCCCCTCTTGTTACTATTGTTTTCTTCATGTTGTTGTCGAACTTCTTTTTTTTCCCAGATCATTGATCACTCTGGAGATCCTACAGAAGGAGTATATAAAACTTATATTTATGTGGAAAAGATTATTAAACAGGTAAATATGCATTCTTTATAAGATTTCATCTGAAATACTCTAAGGGGCGCCTGGCTGACTCATTCGGTAGAGCACGCAATCCTCAATCTTGGCCGTGAGTTCAAGCCCCATGTTGGGCATAGAACCTACTTTAAAAAAAAATTCTAAGACTGTTTTCCATAAATGTGGGTTTTCCAGTAAAAACAACTTCCTTGTTTTTTTGAAAACAATACCTGGGAAGAGTGCCATTGTTTCTGGTGATTGTCTATCCTGTGGTATTATCATAGTATTACTAGTACCATGTTTCTTTATCTGTCATCTGTCTCACAAAGCTATTTGATGCCTCAACACCTGATTAAGTGTAAAATAGATTACAAAAGTGCTAGATAAAAAGTATAAGTATTTGGGCGCCTTTGCGGCTCAGTCGTTAAGCATCTGCCTTCGGCTCAGGTCATGATCCCAGGGTCCTGGGATCGAGCCCCACATCAGCTCCCTGCTCCGCAGGAAGCCTGCTTCTCCCTCTCCCACTCCCCCTGCTTGTGTTTCCTCTCTCACTGTGTCTCTCTCTGTCAAATAAATAAATAAAATCTTAAAAAAAGAAAAGTATAAATATTTGAAGGAAAATGTTTATCTTATTCAATAGAGTCTCCTCAGGTTTTGTGTGCACCTTGAATTTTTATAAAGTAGAAAAATCCTAGGGACACCTGGGTGGCTCAGTCGGTTAAGCGTCTGCCTTCAACTCAGGTCATGATCCCGGGGTCCTCAGATGGAGCCCCACATTGGACTCCTTGCTCAGCTGGGTGTCTGCTTCTCCCTCTCCCTCTGCTGCTCCCCCTGCTTGTACTCTCTCTCTCTGTCGAATAAATCAATAAAATCTTGAAAAAAAAAAAAAAGGCTTTTCAGGGACATCTGGGTGGCTTAGTTGGTTAAGCATCCATTTCGGCTCAGGTCATGATCTCAGGGTCGTGAGATTGAGCCCCACCTGGGGCTCTATGCTGGGCATGGAGCCTGCTTAAGATTTTCTCTCTCCCTCTCCTTCTGCCCTCCTCCCCAACCCACCCCTCGAACCCCGCTCACATGTGCACACGTGCATGCTCTCTCTCTCAAAAAAAAAAAAAAAAATCCCTTTCAAATTTATCCACTACATCATCCTTGCAGCAGAGAGGGGTAAAATCCTACCTCCAAGGGTCTGAGGTCATGGTCATAGACAGTATCTCAGGCTGAAAGTTTCTATGACATCTCAAGTATTAGCTTGTAAATTTATGTGAGTTACATATTCTTCTTAATGTTATACATGTGTTTATTTTTAATATAAAAAATCATTTTAAATTATAGATTATCAAAAATGCTGATGATGATAAGAAAAAGAACCCCCCACCTTAAAAGTAGAATGGGCACAATAGAAAGATGTACCACATTTAGCCTGTGGTTGCCTATACCTGCTGATATATCCTCTGTGGTGCCAGAGATTCTACTTGAGAAATTAGGGATTAGATTACTTTTTCTAATTAACTTGTACTACAAGTATGGAGATTTGTTATCAGAGAGAAAGAATGAGCCCCAAAATATAATGATATGACTTCTGGCAACACATTTTGTATAGTGTTCTTTAATATGAAAACTGACATCAATTTTGATCTTCTCAATAATCTTGTGAATTTGGGGACCCAGGTAAATAAAATTAACTGAGCAGAATAAATGGTAGCAAGTGGAAGTGGACATATTTGCCATCTTTACTGCTTGAAGAGCAACATATTTTCAGTGGTATGAAGACTAGATATCATGACACAGATATTTGATATCAAGAAACCCCATCTTAGTAATTAAATTCTTATAAAAATGTAAAGCAGCATATTTCTTAGGCATTAGCACATTCTTTAAAATGATTTACCACCCAGATGTAAGCAAATATATTGTGTAACATTTTTCAGAAAACACATCCCCAAGAGTCAAATGCCCCTCTATTTTTTTTAAAGATTTTATTTATTTATTTGAGAGAGAAAATGAGAACATGAGAGGGGGGAGGGTCAGGGAGAAGCAGACTCCCTGCTGAGCAGGGAGCCCGACGCGGGACTCGGTCCAGGGACTCCAGGATCATGACCGGAGCCGAAGGCAGTCGCTTAACCAACTGAGCCACCCACGCGCCCCTGCCCCTCTATTTTTATCTGACAGTTGTTTTGTTTTGTTTTGTTTTAAATGTAAGCACTGCCCAGTGTAGGGCTTGAAACCATGACCCCAAGATCAAGGATCACATGCTCTACTGACTAAGCTAGCCAGCTTTCCCAATTGCACCTCTAATTTTAATAAAAGCTGTTTTTTATTAAGAGTTTGGTTTTTGCAGTTGAAAATAGAGCTACCATACGATCCAGCAATTGCACTACTGGGTATTTACCACAAAGATACAAATGTAGGGATCCGAAGGGGTACGTGCACCCCAATGTTTATAGCAGCAATGTCCACAATAGCAAAACTGTGGAAAGAGCCAAGATGTCCATCGACAGATGAATGGATAAAGAAGAGGTGGTATATATACACAATGGAATATTATGCAGCCATCAAAAGGAATGAGATCTTGCCATTTGCAACAACATGGATAGAACTGGAGGGTGTTATGCTGAGTGAAATAAGTCAATCAGAGAAAGACATGTATCATATGACCTCACTGATATGAGGAATTCTTAATCTCAGGAAACAAACTGAGTGTTGCTGGAGTGGTGGGGGTGGGAGGGATGGGGTGGCTGGGTGATAGACATTGAGGAGGGTATGTGCTATTGTGAGCGTTGTGAATTGTGCAAGACTGTTGAATCACAGATCTGTACTTCTGAAACAAATAATTCAACATATATTAAGAAAAAAGAAAAAGAAGAAGATAGCAGGAGGGGAAGAATGAAGGGGAGTAAGTCAGAGGGGGAGACGAACCATGAGAGATGATGGACCCTGAAAAACAAACAGGGTTCTAGAGGGGAGGTGGGTAGGGGAATGGGTTAGCCTGGTGATGGGTATTAAAGAGGGCACATTCTGCGTGGAGCACTGGGTGTTATGCACAAACAATGAATCATGGAACACTACATCAAAAACTAATGATGTAATATATGGTGATTAACATAACAATAAAAAAATTTTTTAAAAAGTTTGGTTTTTCTGTGTGTTTGTCATTTTAATATTTCTTTATTTCTAGTGTTTTTTTTTATAGTTATAAATTTATTCTTGTAGGTACTATACAAAGGCCATAGGTTTGGACTTGCCCTCCTCAGTAGGTGAAACCCACCGTATACCTGTGTGCTTACCCTGTTCCAAGTGTTTACATTCTTTATTCATTGTTGTATGCTTGCTCTTGGTGTTCAGGACATCCTGGGCTCTGAGAACACAGACCTGGAGACTAAGGATTTGAGCAGTGAAGATTCTGTTCCAGAAGATGATGATTTTGGTGATGTTTTGTGGGACATACATGATGAACAAGAGCAAATGGAAACTTTTCAACAGGCTACAAATTCAGCCCATGAGTTGGGATTTGAGAAGGTAAGCATTTGGAGTTATTGTTCCAACAAACATCAGTCACCACTTAAAGCTCTATCATGATTGTGTTTTTACCTAAATACAGTCCAGGTAAAATCAAATTACCTCAGTAATTATTAGGGAGTTGGCAAAGTTATCTTGATCCCAGGGCCCCAAGATCATGACCTGAGCCGAAGGCAGACACTTAACCAACTGAGCCACCCAAGTGCTCCAAGAACGAATGTTTTAAGGAATATTATCATAGCTGTCAGCAACAGCAGTATTTCCATAGAAATTTTATAGTTTAGGCTGTCTATGTTTATGTCCTGGTTCTCCCATTTGCTCACTCTGGATTTTGATCATTACTTAGCTCTGAACTTTGACTTCCTTGTCTTTAAAATGAGATATTTAAGGATGCTGATGAACTGACCAGCCTTTTGCATTAACTACTATGGTATTTTCTGAATGTTTGACATTTTGAGTCCTCCAAGCATTGGAAGAATAGATAGCCTTATGATTTTTATCAAGTTTCCTAACTATCCTAATCTTGGTTTGGTGAACAGCAGATAGTAAAGAACATGTGGTTGATAAATCCTAATCTTAACTAAAAATGTTTGATGTTCCTAAATATAGTTGAATCTCACTTAACCTTTCATATGATACAAAGTTAAGCACATGTCTCAACATGGATAATCACACCATGAGGACAAACACTAATATACTTATTAACCTGGACTGAGAATGTTGTAAAGCCCGAGGAGGATCTCAAGTGTTATCTCTCATCCATTAATTGACAGCAATACTATGTGTAGAAGAAATTGGGGCTCATTCTTAGGTTACTACTTTGGGCACGTTTAACCAGCCATAAAAAGAAGCAGTCATGAGGGTGACTAAAAGTAAATTTCATTTTCTCTAATGATTTCAGAGGGTAGTCAGAAGTTGGCTCTAGAATTCTGAGGCGTGTGCTTCCTCACAATTTAAATTCATTTTTGTTTCTAGTATTACCAACGCCTTAACGATCTAGTGGCGGCCCCAGCACCAATTCCACCTCTTCTTGTATCTGGAGGACCAGGTTCTGGAAAGTCCCTTCTCTTATCAAAGTGGTATGATGCAGTGCAATTAAATTGTTGTTACCATTGTTATCATTTGAATTACTGACCTCATTCGACAAAATGTATTATTGCCTGTCTGCCTTCCTGCATGGCCTGTACTAAACACTGAAAAAGCAAAAAGCTATAAAATAATAGTCATGCCCTGAAGCGTATACAATTTGGATGTTAGAGAGGATCTCGGATGAGAAAGGAATAGGAAATAGGAGCATTTTAATGGTGTACAGTAGTTACGTAGGTCAGAGCTAGGCACGTGCTATGTAAGGGCGTGGTCAGTATGGAGTGGAATTAGGTGAACTAGATATACAGGGGATGTGCCTGTGTTTTCAATTACCGGCTTCATCTTAAAAGTTTTGTTGAGATTTTAAATATTTAAAAGAAGGCAAAGACAGTTTAGAGTGAGATAAGTCATAAAGAACATCAAAGTAAAGGACCTGTATTATGAATGCAAAGTCATTCTTCAGATTAGGGAAGGTTTATAGAAGTTGATAAACTCTTTTTTACTTTCATTTTAGTTCCTATTATTTAAAAACAATTAGTAAGAATATTGTCTTTCATAATTATGATTTACATTGAAGAGTTGGCATATGTTGTTTCCTTTTTACTGCCCTTTTATTTAGTGGGAAATAATATTTTTTTGGAAAATAATATTTTTGTACTTAGCAAAGAAACTTTTTTTCCTCTAATATATTTTTAATTAAAGGGTAATGCTCACTTCACTAATACCTTAACCTCAAATGTACACTATATTGGTTTCCATTAGTTAATTTCAATTTGTAATTAAAATGAATCTATAATTTTTAAAGGTTTATTTAAAAGGATCTAGAAGTGGAATAAAAATGGAAATTTCCCATGTTTATTCAAAAATGATTGACCATGTGATTGCTGACAGTTGGATAGCATTTGATGTTTAATGCATTGTGAATCCTTTTTTCTGGTAATAAATGAACTTCATCAGTCTTATAAAAGGTCTTTTTCTTTCAGGATTCAGTTACAACAGAAGAATTCCCCTAACACGCTAATTCTTTCTCATTTTGTGGGAAGGCCCATGTCAACCAGCTCCGAGTCCTCCTTGATTATTAAACGACTAACTCTAAAGGTATAAGATGCCATGTTTTGGAATTATCAGAATTTTTATTTAGAATCAGAAATTGTTGGGGCTGAGTACCCAATAATTTTCAATTTTTGATATTACCCATTTGTTTTAGATTTGTATAACATTAAAAATAAAACTTGATGCAGTTGGGTCCTCTTGGTCACTCAGTTTTGGTTTTAAAAGTCAGGATAGAAGTATTTCCCACCAGCTGTGATAAAGTGTAACTACTTGAATTCGTATGTGTTCTCATCTTGCAGTTGATGCAGCACTCTTGGTCAGTATCTGCTCTGACATTGGATCCAGCTAAGCTTCTGGAAGAATTTCCACGCTGGCTAGAAAAACTCTCTGCCCGTCATCAAGGCAGCATCATCATCATTATTGATTCTATAGATCAAGTTCAGGTACTGTTTTCACTTTGTAACCTATTGGTACTCTCAGAAAGAAACAGAATTATCAGTAATGGCTATAGCAGGCATTTAAATATGTTGATGAGAAGAAAATGTTGATGTTGTTCCTGCTATTTCTGCTTAATTTCTAGGGAGGAAGAACGTGGATAAAAAATGTACTGTATGCCCTGGTATAGACATTAATATCTTATTGGGAAACACCAATTGAATGAACCAGTTAGCAAAAATTGTTCATTTTGACATATTTTTAGGGCCTTAACATTTCCTTAAGTGTCCATAATTCATATCAGCTATCATAGTATTTTGCCACTTGTTTTAATATCCTGAGATAAATTTATCATCCCAAAACAAGATTGTATCCTTAATGATAATGAGAAACTTAATGAGAATTTCATTTTACTTGGGGAGCTATTATCAGGTTGTTTTGAAATATTTTGAATTAATAGAATGAATTTTGTTTTTATATTTTTAAGCAAGTTGAAAAACACATGAAATGGCTGATAGATCCACTGCCAGTGAATGTAAGAGTAATTGTTTCTGTGAATGTAGAAACATGCCCTCCAGCGTGGAGGTATGATGCTAACTTTAGTTCTTTCAGATTACATGAAATGTGTTAAGTACAAACAAGGAAAGGTTTTGGATATGTATTTGTATTTTCATGTTTTTCATGTAAGTGGCAGGGAGGAGGGGGAGAAGTGGATGGATTCAAGAGAAAATTATAATCTACAGGCTTTGGTGGGAGGTTAGGCCTGGGGTGTCAAGAAGGGGAAGCCTAGATGGCCCCCAAGTTTCTGTCTTGAGAAATTACATAGATTGTGGTCTTTTTCAGATTAGGGACTAAGGTTTATAGAACTGAAATAGGGAACACAGAGGATGGGCAGGTTTGTGGAGGAAAGGTTGTAAGTTTTGTTTTGGACATGGTTACCTTGAGTTGCTAGTTGTACCTCCAGCTACCAATGGCTAGCAGGCAATGACATTTACAGGTGAGAAAAACAGGGAGAGGGCCGGGCTATGAGTAATGGACCAGACACCTGTTATCTTGAAAGATGCGCTTACTTTGGCAGTCCTCAAAAAAGGAATACAGTGGTTGAATTCTGTAGGGCAGTGTTTCTCAACCTTTTGTCCCCCTTAGGAACCTTTTTAGACACTTTCTTCCTAATTACCTCCCTCACCCCTAGAAATTTTAATACCATCCATATGCCATATATCAGTTTATGTATAGAAACAGATATGTTTACATTTGTATATTTGTGCTTTATACATAAAAAGAGTAAGATTCTTTTTCCCCACCCTGAAACAATTTTCAATACCCTGTTGAGAATGGATATAGCAGGATGATTACATTCCAATTGGATTACAAGTAATTTGTGGACAAATACTACCTTGTACTATTCTTCATGGGTACTAATATGTTTAGTTTTATTCCTAGTATAGAACATAGAATTTAAAATGTTTTACCACCTTACTATCTAATGTATATTGCTATTTAAAGTCTTTGTTGGGATTAATTGCTGAAAGTAATGATATACACGTTAGAATGAATCAAACAATAATACCTAGTAAGATTCACAGAGATTAGTTTTGTTGATTTTATAAAGGCAGTATAAAAAATTAATTCTTGTAATGGATTTTGACTTGTGATTGGATAGATTACAGCTTTTATTGTTTTATTAGAAGAGAATTTCATTTTTTTTCTTTAAATAAAAGGTTGTGGCCTACACTTCATCTTGATCCTTTAAATCCAAAAGATGCAAAATCTATTATAATTGCAGAGTGCCACTCTGTGGGCATTAAGCTGAGTAAAGAGCAGGTAAGTGTTTTTAACTTTGTTGCCCTTTTACTGTCTACAGCTTTCCTATAAAACACCCTATATGAGACTTAAAATTCAATATAGGAACTCTCTAATGTGTTAAGGAAAATTGGAGTTTCCTAATTGTTAAATGCATTGGCTCTTAAACTACTAACAAATATAGAAGAAGCAATAAAAAGCATTTGGGGCTTAAGTTTTGCTTTGCTATATTCTATTAAGCAGGAATGCTAAAAGCAAAAGAACATCTGCAGTCCACCACTGCGCGGCAGTGTTGTTACTGATGAGGTGGTGGGAACCGTGTCATTTCTGCCAGGGATTTTTGTTGATGGCTCTGTAGTGAAGACCGTTTCATTCCAGGGTGGTGTTGTGTTTTTGTGTTTGTTTTGTGTTTTGGTAAACTGGTGCAGGAGAAGAAGCTAGAACGACACTGTCGTTCTGCTACGACCTGCAATGCCCTTTATGTCACCCTTTTCGGCAAAATGATCTCACGGTAAGTAGTGGCGATGTTACATGATCTGCATGTTTTCTGTTTGCTGCAGACAGCTTCCTCACCTTGTGAAACTGAACGATCATTGCGCAGTCTCTCTGAGCCACTCACATCCGATTCTGTTGATTCTAACAGTGATACTAACATCCTTGTGGGAATGTGACTCATGACTGCAGATTGGTGATAGCCCATGCACTACAAGAACGTGTTGGCTGTAGTTGTCTCATTTTCATCACACTAACTGTTTCCCTGTCGGGGGTTGCCAAAGAAGGCCATCTTTGCCCTCCTTGGGGGCCCATGAATGCTTCTTGTCACCTGCTTGAGGCCCCTAGCTTTGAGAAAGTGAGAGACAACTGAGGCAAACCCATGCTCTTTTGGGGTGTCCTTGAATATTGGTAGGTAGGTATGTAGGAATTTTTAATTGTCTCTGTTCTCAAATCCTGATAAACGTTTCATCTTAAAATAGATTCTTCTGTTCTGGATGCCCTTTAGTCATTTGCCTTTAAATAAGCCCTACAAAGTGTAACTATGTTTCTTCTTCAGTACAGCCTCACCTTACTTTGTCTCTTCACAACCAGAGGCAAAAAAGATGAATATGGTTTTGGTGATCATCACAACGGACAGTTAATCCAACTACAACTCATATTCTAGACACTGAATCTGGTACTCTTGGCTCTTAATTCTACATTCTCATCCTGAGCACCAGATTTGAAATAAAACCATCTTCTAAAATTTTGAATTGCCCGTGATATTCCCACTGCCCTCCTCCACTGTCTCCAGTTTGGGCAGTGCGTCTGGCCTCTGGGAGCTTCGGAAGCTGGCCTGAGTACAGTTCAAGAGCGGGAGTCCCTTTCCACACATTCCATAGTATTTATTGAATTTAGCTATTTTAAGAGTGTTGAAACAAAATGAACAAACCTATTAGAATATCTAAAAGTGAGAAAGAGAGTTTTTTTCAAGCCCAAGTTAGGACAGCTGCCCGGGAAACACAATCTTCATGGAGAAGATGGTGCTCTGGAGAATGAACAGGTCTTACAGGGCTATATACCCTTTTTTACATTTTCTAAAAGCTTGAAAGATTATATAGGCAGAAATCCTGTGTTTTGACATCAAAAAATGCAGGGGGTAGGAGCATTGGTCCATATCATAAGGACACGATGGTTTCCCTTTAGGCTACTTATTTACAAGGCAGATGTATAATGTGTGCTTGGTGGGCCATAAATCAGGCTTTTGGTTTAAACAAAATTCATGTATAGTCATGCTGATTTAGAAAGAAATCTGAAACGGCTTCCCATATATATTAGGCCTTTAGAAAGTTTATTAGGCCTATAGAGAGGGACTATAGACCTTTTGGTTTTTTTTCTTCTCTATATATCTTCATATTTAAAAAAGAAACTATTGGTAAATATTGTGTAATATTTTAAAACAAACCACCCCATTTACTGATTTTCTTTAGCCTGATGTCTCCTAAATCCTGGCTCTAAACAAATTTAACTTGCATAGCTAACTAATAACACCTATTTATAATTATTTTCCTGCTTCCTGTATGTAGGTAGCGTGTTTCTGGATGATTAGAACCACTTCTTACTCTTTTCTGTGTTCCCATAATGTGCAGTAATTGCTTGACACATAGTAAGTTCCCAGCATGTGTTTACTGAGTCGAACTAAATGGTACACTAAAATAAAACTAATGACTCTAGCAGTCCCTTGAAACTGTCATTTGCTTATATCACGTTTTGTTGAATTTCTGTTATCATTTAAAGTATAAAAAATAGAGACCACATTGTTTTTATCTACCCCAGATTTTTCACAGATGTTGGCTGTCTGTAAGAAATTAAATCTATTCTCAATTCCAACAGTGCTGGGAGAGCAGGCAATTTAGATAAAATCCTTCATCAGTGTTTCCAGTGTCAAGATACTATTTCATTATATAGACTTGCTCTGCGATCTATCCAGGAGTCCATGGCAAATGATATGGATAAAGAACTAATGAAACAGGTAAAGGATGATAAACTTATAAAACTCCTAAAATTTTGCATTTGTTTGTGAATTGAAGAAAACAGTAATTATTTTTAAGTTTGTGCTCAAGTATGTTTCAGGCATATACAGGAAGGCTAGCTGCCATAGTGTGCTTATGGCCAGAAGTGACAGCTCAAGAAATTTGCATTTTCCTGATTATCATTGAGATTTTTCATCTGTTCATGTTTATTGGCTATTCTTGTTTTGTCTTCTGTGACTTGCTGATTCAGGCCTTTTTATGTGAGTTTTAATTGAGTTGTCTTTACTTAATGATCTCCAGGAGCTCTTAAACTTTGTGCCTACTGAATACAAATCCTCTATTACAGAGTTTGCAAATAAATATCTTGTTCCGATTTGTTTCTTGTCTTAACTTTTTGGTATCATTCATTATACAGTGTTTTATTTTGAGGAAGTCAGATTTATCAACAGTTTCTTTTATGGTTTATGCCTGTTATATCTCATTTTAAAAATCTTTTATTATCAAAAAATATTTTGTTATTATAAAGATATTCTCATATAAATTTTTCCCTTTAAAATGTTTTCCACTTTTGTTCTTCCTGTGTGAGTCCTTATGGATTTATTTTTGTTTATTATGTGAGGAAGGAATCTACTTTTTACTCTTTAATCATGTGGCCAGCTCATTTTACTAAATAGTGCATCTTTTCTGCTAATTTGGATATCACACTCACAAATTAACATGAGTTTGTTTTCTGAGTTCTTCTGTTCCCGTTTTGCTTATTCCTTGCCAATACCACAGTGTCTCAACTATTATAGCTTGAAAGTAAACTTTCATATGTGGTTGGTCTGTGGGCTAATGGTTTCTCATGCACCCCTTCACTGAAAGTACAGCTCTTGGGATTCCTGGTGTTGGCAAGCTTTCTAGTTCCAGCTACTCACCTTACCGGGTTTAAGGGCTCACCTTCCATCCCTGCTGTGGCTGTGAAAACCCAAGCCCTTAAATTACTGAGACTGCTGCCAGCCAGTACCCTCACTTCCCCCAGGGACAGCAGCTCCAGCACTTAGCCCTCTGATGTTCACTTTCCTGTTCATTTTTGGCATCTGGGGGATTTCCCTTTCTTTTTTGCAGGTTCCCTGTGCTTTTAAAGGTGTTTTGTTACATGTTGTCTCATGTTAACGGGCAATTATAGTAGAAGAATCATTTTTTTCTACCATCTTCCCAAAATTGGAACTTTGTCATTAGTTTTAATCCATTTCCTGAGGTTTTAATTTTTTTCTTTTTTTTAAAGATTTTATTTATTTATTTGAGAGAGAGCACAAGTGAAGGGGAAGGGAGGGGCAGAGGGCAGAGGGAGAGGCAGACTCCCCACTGAGCAGGGAGCCCAACATGGGGCTTGATCCCAGGACCCCAGGATCATAACCTGAACTGATGGCAGATGCTTAACTAACTGAGCCGCTGAGGCACCCGCTGAGGTTTTAATTTTCATCAAACTTTTTTCTGTTACTGTCTTTGGCATGCTAGATTTGCTATATACACTATCTTATTCCTGATTAATGTGTTTTAGAAAGTGTGTTTTATTCTAAGAAATAGGTTTCTTGCTAAATCATTTGAACAATAAGTTTGAATAAGAAGTTAATCACCTTAAAAGAGTTATGGAAATTTTAATAGCTGTTTGTTACTTGTAGAGATGGCATATGATCATTCTTAATTCATTTCTCTACCTAGATTCTCTGCCTCATAAATGTTAGTCACAATGGCGTGAGTGAATCAGAACTGATGGAACTCTACCCTGAGCTGTCCTGGGCTGTCTTGACCTCCCTTGTTCACAGTTTACACAAAATGTGCTTATTGACTTATGGTTGTGGCTTGCTCAAGTTTCAACATCTACAGGTAAATGCTTTTTTAATAAGGTTTTTTACTTATAAATGTCAACATACCGGGAGATAGTCCAAGATGCTGGAGAAGTAGGGACCTTAGTTTCATCTGGTCCCAGGAATTCAGCTAGATAACTATTAAATCATTCTGAACACCTGCAAACTCAACCAGAGATCTAAGAAAAGAATAGCAGCAGCTCTACAAATAGAAAAGTGACCACTTCTGCAACTCTACAAATAGAAAAGTGATCACTAGGGCCGCCTGGGTGGCTCAGTTGTTAAGCATCTGCCTTCGGCTCAGGTCATGATCCCAGGGTCCTGGGATCGAGCCCCGCATTGGGCTCCCTGCTCAGCCAGGAGCCTGCTTCTCCCTCTCCTGCTCCCCCTGCTTGTGTTCCCTCTCTAGCTGTCTCTTTCTCTGTGTCAAATAAATAAATAAAATAAGAAAAGCGACCACTTTCTGCAAGAATGAGAAGATGGAAAAACTCACCTCAAAAAAGAGAACAAACTGCCAGGGACCTAATCAGTATAGACATAAGTAAGATGGCAGAACTAGAGTTCAGAATAACGATTCTGAACTGGGCTTAAAAAAAGCATAGAAGACACTAGAGAATCCCTTTAGAGGGGGAATAAAAGAACTAAAATATAATCATATTGAAATAAAAAAGGCTATTAATGAGACACAAAAATAGAGGCTCTGACTGCTAGGGGAGATGTGGCAGAAGAAAGAATTAGTGATATAGAAGACAAAATGATGGAGAACAAAGAAGCCAAGAAAAAGAGAGAGAAACAACTACTGGATCACAAGGGGGAGAATTTGAGAATTAAGTCATACCATAAAGTGAAACAATATTAGAATAATTGGGACCCCAGAAGAAGAGGAAAGAGACAAAGAGAGGGGCAGAAGGTATATTGGAGCAAATTTAGTAGACAACTTCCCTAATCTGGGGAAGGAATTAGTCATTCAAGTCCAGGAGGCACAGAGAACCCCCCTCAAAATCAGTAAAAATAGGTCAACACCTCGATGTATAATAGTGAAACTTTCAAACTTAGAGACAAAGAAAATCCTGAAAGAAATCTGTAACCTACAAGGATAGAAACATTAGACTGGAAGCAGAGCAGATGTATCCGCAGAGACCTGGCAGGCCAGAAAGGACTGGCATGATGTATTCAGGGTGCTAAATGATAAAAATATGCAGCCAAGAATACTTTATCTAGCAAGGATGTCATTCAAAATAGGAGAGATAAAAATCTTCCAGGACAAACAGAAGCTAAAAGAATTTGTGATCACTAAACCAGCCCTGAGAGAGATATTAAAGGGGATCCTTTAAGTGAAGAGAGCCCCCAAAAGTAACATAGATCAGAAAGGAACAGAGACAATCTACAGAAACAGGGATTTTACAGGTAATACAATGGCACTAAATTCCTATCTTTCAATAGTTACCCTGAATGTAAATGGGCTAAATGCCCCAATCAAAAGACACAAGGTATCAGACTGGATAAAAAAGCAAGACCTATCCATATGCTGACTGCAAGAGACTCATTTTAGACCCAAAGGCACCTCCAGATTGAAAGTGAGGGGGTGGAAAACCATTTATCATGCTAATGGACGTCAAAAGAAAGCTGGGATAGCAACCCTTATATCCAACAAATTAGATTTAAACCAAAGACTAATAAGAGATGAGGAAGGACACTATATCATACTTAAAGGGTCTATCCAACAAGAAGATCTAATAATTGTAAATATTTATGTCCCTAAAATGGGAGCAGCTAATTGTATAAGCCAATTAATAGCCAAATTAAAGAAACACATTGATAATACAATAATAGTAGGGGACTTCAACACCCCACTCATTGCAATGGACAAACCATCTAAGCAAAAGAACAACAAGGAAAGAAGGCCTTTGAATGACACACTGGACTGGATGGACTTCAAAGATATATACAGAGCATTCCATCCTAAAGCAACAAAATACATATTCTTCTTGAGTGCACATGAAACATTCACCAGAATAGATCACATACTGGGTCACAAATCAGGTCTCAACTGATACAAAAAGATTGGGATCATTCCCTGCATATTTTCAGATCACAGTGCTTTGAAACTGGGACTCAATCACAAAAGGAAATCTGGAAGGAACTCAAACACTTCGAAGTTAAAGAGCATTCTAATAAATAATGAATGAGTCAACCAGGAAATTAAAGACAAATTTAAAAAATTCATGGAAACAAAATGAAAGCAGAACTGTTCAAAACCTTTGTGATGCAGCAAAGGTGGTCCTAAGAGGGAAGTATATAGCAACACAAGTCTTTCTCAAGAAACAAAAAAGGTCTCAAATTCACAGCCTAACCTTACCCCATAAGGAGCTGGAGGAAGAACAGCAAATAAAGCCTAAACTCAGCAGGAGAAGAGAATAAAGATTAGAGCAGAAATCAATGAAATAGAAACCAGAAAAAACCGTAGAACAGATCAATGAAACTAGGACCTGGTTCTTTGAAAGAATTGATTAGATTGATAAACCCCTGGCCAGACTTATCAAAAAGAAAAGAGAAAGGACCCAAATAAGTAAAATCATGAGTGAAAGAGGAAGGATCACAACCAAAGCCAAAGAAATACAAACAGTTTTTAAGAGCATATTATAAGCAACTATATGCCAACAAATTAGGCAATTTGGAAGAAATGGATGCATTCCTGGAAACTTATTCACTACCAGAACTGAAACAGGAAGAAATAGAAAACCTGAACAGACCCATAACCAGCAAGGAAATTGAAGCAGTAATCAAAAAAATCCCAACAAACAAGAGTCCAGGGCCGGATGGCTTCCCAGGGGAATTCTACCAAACATTTAAAGAAGAACTTACACCTATTCTTCTGAAGCTTTTTCAAAAAATCGAAATGGAAGAAAAAACTTCCAAATTCTTTCTATGAGGCCAGCATTATCTTGATCCCAAAACCAGACAAAGACCACATCAAAAAGGAGAATTACCACTATCCCTGATGAACATGGATGCCAAAATTCTCACCAAGATACTAGGCAATAGGATCCAACAGTAGGATTATTCACCACGACCAAGCAGAATTTTTTCCTGGGCTGCAAGGGTTATTCAACATCTGCAAATCAATCGACATGATACACTACATTAATAAAAGAAAGAACAAGAACCATATGATCCTCTCAATAGATGCAGAAAAAGCATATGAAAAAGTACAGCATCCCTTCTTGATTAAAACTCTTCACAGTGTAGAGATAGAGGGAACATACCTCAATATCATAAAAGTCATATAGGAAGAGCCCAGAGCAAAATCATTCTCAATGGAGAAAAACTGAGAGCTTTTCCCCTAAGGTCAGGAACATGACAGAGATGTCTACTTTCACCACTGTTGTTCAATATAGTACTAGAAGTCCTAGCTTTAGCAATTAGACAACAAAAAGAAATGAAAAGCATCCAAATCAGCAAAGAAGTAGTCAAATTCTCACTCTAAACAAATGCCATAATACTCGATGTGGAGAACCCAAAAGACTCCACCCCAAATTGTTAGAACTCATACAGGAATTCAGTAACGTGGCAGGATATAAAATCAATGCACGGAAATCAGTTGCATTTCTGTACACTAACAATGAGACAGAAGAAAGAGAAATTAAGGAGTCCATCCCATTTAAAATTGCAGCAAAAACCATAAGATACCTAGGAATAAACCTAACCAAAGAGGTTAAAGATTTGTACTCAGAAAACTATGGAATACTCATGAAAGAAATTAAGGAAGTCACAGAGAAATGGGAATACATTCCACACTCATGGATTGGAAGAACAAAAATTGTTAAAATGTCTATGCTACCCAAAGCAATCTACACATTCAGTGCAATCCCTATCAAAATACCATCCACTTTTTTCACAGAGCTGGAACAAATAATCCTAAAATTTGTATGGGACCCGAAAAGACCCTGAATAGCCAGATGAATCTTGAAAAAGAAAACCAAACTGGGGGCATTACAGTCCCAGACTTCAAGCTCTATTACAAAGCTGTTATCATGAAGATGGTATGATACTGGCACAAAAACAGACATATAGATCAGTGGAACAGAATACAAAACCCAGAAATAGACCCTCAACTCTATGGTCAACTAATCTTCAACAAAGCAGGAAAGAATATGCAATGGACAAAAGACAGTCTCTTCAACAAATGGTGTTGGGAAAATTGGACAGCCACATGCAGAAGAATGAAACTGGACCATTTTCTTACACCATACACAAAAATAGACTCAAAATGGATGAAGGATCTAAATTTGAGATAGGATTCCATCAAAATCCTAGCGAAGAACACAGGGAGTAACCTCTTCACCCTCGGCCACAGCAGCTTCTTGCAAGACACATCTCTAAAGGCAGGGGAAACAAAGACAAAAATGAACTGTTGGGACTTCATCAAGATAAAAAGCTTTTGCCCAGCAAAGGAAACAGTTGACAAAACCCAAAGACAGCCGACAAAATGGGAGAAGATATTTACAAATGTCTTATCAGATAAAGGGCTAGTATCCAAGATCTATAAAGAACTTAACAAACTCAGCACCCAAAGAACAAATAATCCAATCAAGAAATGGGCAAAAGACAGACATTTCTCCAAAGAAGACATCCAAATGGCCAACAGACACATGAAGAAATGCTCCACATCACTCAGCATCAGAGAAATACAAATCAAAACCACATTGAGATACCACCTCAACCGGTCAGAATGGCTAACATTAAGTCAAGGAATGACAGATGTTGACAAGGATGTGGAGAAAGAGGAACCCTCTTACACTGTTGGTGGGAATGCAAACTGGTGCAGCCACTCTGGAAGACAGTATGGAGGTTCCTCAAAAAGTTGAAAATAGAACTACTCTTTGAGCCAGCAATTGCACTACTAGGTATTTACCCCAAAGATACAACTGTAGTGATTCGAAGGGGCTCCTGCACCCCAGTGTTTATAACAGCAATGTTCACAATAGCCCAACTATGGAAAGAGTCCAAATGTTCATTGACAGATGAATGAATAAAGAAGATGATGTGGTACACACACACACACACACACACACACACACACAATGGAATACTACTCAGCCATCCAAAAATGAAATGTTGCCACTTAACAATGATGTGGTATTATTAGAGGTAGAGGGTATTATGCTGAGTGAAATAGGTCAGTCAGAGAAAGACAGGTATCATAAGATCTCACTCCTATGTGGAATTTAAGAAACAAAACAGGATCATCGGGGAAGAGAGTAAAAAATAAAGCAAGACAAAAATCAGAGGGAGACAAACCATAAGAGACTCTTTAATCATCAGAAACAAACTGAGGGTTGCTAGAGAGGAGGGGGTGGGAGGGATGGGATACCTGGGTGATGGACATTAAGGAGGGCACGGGATGTAATGAGCACTGGGTGTTATGTAAGACTGATGTAACACTGACCTCTACCTCTGAATCTAATAATACATTATATATTAATTAATTGAATTTAAATTAAAAAATAAAAATTTTTTAAACACCAATGTACCATTCTATTTTAAGTGTTTCAATTACAAGACAAAATTGAAATCTGAAATTTGACATTACAAAATTTTTTTGCAATAATTTTAGGTTAAATGTAAAATTTGGCTAATATTATTTTTACGAAGTACCTTTATGAAATGACTATTACAGCAGTCCCCTCTTATCCACAGGGGACACCTTCGAAGACCCCCAGTTAATGCCTGAAACTGGGATAGTACCAAACCCCATATATACTATGTTTTTCTCTATACATGCATACCAGTGATAAAGTTAAATTTATAATTTAGGAATAGTAAGGGATTAAGAACAGTAACTAATAATAAAACAGAACAATTGTAAAAATATACTGTACTAAAAGGTATGTGAATGTGGTATCTCTCAAAATATCTTATTTTACTGCACTCACCCTTCTTTTTTTTTTTTTTTTGGTTTATTTATTTGACAGAGAGAGAGAGCGAGAGCAGGAACACAAGCAGGGGGAGAGGGAGAGGGAGAAGCTGGCTTCCCGCCAAGCAGGGAGCCCGATGCGGGGCTCAATCCTAGGACCCTGGGATCATGACCTGAGCCGAAGGCAGACGCTTAATGACTGAGCCACCCAGGCGCCCCTTTTACTGCACTCACCCTTCTTGTGATGATGTGAGATTACCAGTAAAATGCCCACCTGATGAGATGAAGTAATGTGAATGATGTAGGCACTGTGACCTAGCATTACATTACTAGGAATGTAATGGAAGGTCCCACCATTATTTCTTCATGTAGGCAAAAGCTAATCAACTATTTCACCATGCAGCTAAGGTATTATAAATGTCTATATTCTTCTACAACACATTTTACCTCTGTGTCTTTACTTCTCTTCCTTAATGTATAAAAATAATTTAATTATTACGGAAAAGATTAAATCATAATATCAGGAGGATCATCTGCTTTCAAATCCCAGTTGCCCTGGGTAGCTAAGACTGCAGAAAGTGAAACTGGGGATAAAGAGGACTTACAGTACTTTGGGCGCCTGGGTGGCTCAGTCGTTAAGCGTCTGCCTTCGGCTCAGGTGGGATCAAGCCCCGCATCGAGCCCCACATCGGGCTCCCTGCTCTGCGGGAAGCCTGCTTCTCCCTCTCCCACTCCCCCTGCTTGTGTTCCGGCTCTCGCTGTGCCTCTCTCTGTCAAATAAATAAATAAAATCTTTAAAAAAAAAAAAAGAGGACTTACAGTACTTTAAAAAGTAGTTCCTTTCTGAAAAAGAAAAAAATATTTTTTTCAATTGTATGTATTATTGATTGCTGGTATCATTATTTATGTTTTAAGAGCTTCACTCAGGCAGTATGCCTCAGTTCACAATTCAGCTCTTCACAGCTAACACCTCTGTAATCTTGGGTAAATTCTGTAAGACTTGGGCAGATTTTTCCAGCTTACTACAGAGGTGGTGAAGTGAATCAGTTGAGATGGTCTTTGATCCTAGTGAGGCATGATGTCTAGTACATAGTAGTAAATGTTTAGGTATATTGACTGGTATCTGCAATGCCGTGCCTGACTTATGTGTATACAAATGCAAATGAAGTCTTTCGTGTGACTGTGCTGCATTATATTTGCAGGTAGAAAATGTTTGTAATTTCACAGGTTTCTCTTTATTATTATATATTGCTCAAATATACTCTTTTTGGTACTTTTTCAATCCATAGTTCTGATATTTTTACTGTATTAACTTAGTAGAATTAATTTAGTAGAAGTTTGAATTAAATTATGTTTTAAGTGCTTCCAGGAGATTTTTTTATTCTCTATCATTTATCACGTAAACATCCTGAATTTTAAAATATTCTTTTGCCATCTCTATTATACATCTGTAAAATTGAAATAATTATAAATTTGTTTATAAATTAATTGTTAGATATACAGTGACTTACAGAAAATAGACTGAAATATTTTTTCTTTTTCTTCCCAGGCTTGGGAAACAGTAAGACTGGAATACATGGAAGGTCCCACCATTATTCCTTCATGTAGGCAAAAGCTAATCAACTATTTCACCATGCAGCTAAGGTATTATAAATGTCTATATTGTTCTTCTACAACACATTTTACCTCTGTGTCTTTACTTCTCTTCCTTAATGTATAAAAATTTAATTATTATGGAAAAGATTAAATCATCTCCCCTGTTAATGTCAAAAGAATAAGAGATTATTATGTAAGTAAGTCTTTTAATGTCATGCTAAAGATTTAAACTTACATGAAATCAGTGCAGGATCATTTTTTTATTCCAGTTTAATAGTTTAAAAATATATGTGTGTCTGTATACCATGTGTATATATTTGGATGGATTGGGGTTTTTTGTTTTTTTTTTAATAGCTCAATTTTAGGAAAATACCTTGAGAGTTTGGTTAGTGGTCCTGATATCACTGTATTTACTTTCTTAGATTATTTTTTCGAGTTTCTGATTTTCACCTAATTTTCTCAGTATTAGATTATATTTAAAGAGTCAGAGATGGATGTCAAATATATTTTCCTCCCTTCAACATTTGTCTGAAGCCTTTTGAGGCAATCTCCTTGTTGGAAGGTATTATTGAATGTTGTCCTTTCCCTTCTGACAGTCAGGACCGAGTGACTTGGAGAAGTGCAGATGAGCTCCCTTGGCTTTTTCAGCAGCAGGGAAGTAAACAGAAGTTGCAGGATTGCCTTCTCAATCTCTTTGTGTCTCAGAACCTTTATAAAAGGTAAGAAACTTACTTGTAGAACACCTTCCCCCAGAAAAAAAAATTTAAACAGTTGTTTGGTAGAACAAAGAAAAATGACATTTTTAATTTAGCTTTAATATAAGACCTGAAGACACAGAACTCCCAGAAAGCATAGGCAGTAAACTGCTTGACATCAGTCTTGGTGATGATTTCTTGGATCTAACACAAAAAGCAAACACAACAAAAGCAAATAAACAGGTGGAACTATAGCAAACTAAAAAAGCTTCTGCACAGCAAAGGAAACCATAAACAAAATGAAAAAGCAACCTACTGAATGAGAGAAAATATTTGCAAACCATACATCTGCAAAGGGGTTAACATCCAAAATATATAAAGAACTCATACAAATCAATAACAAGAATCTAATTTAAAAATGGGCAGAGAATCTGAATAGACATTTTTCCAAAAAGGACATCCAGATGGCCAACAGACACATGAAAAGATGCTCAACATCACTAGTCATCAGGGAAATGTAAATTAAAAATTAAAATGAAAGGGCATGGAGCAAAATGGGGGAAGAGTAGGAGACCTGGATTTCATCTGGTCCCAGGAATTCAACGGATAGGGATCAAACCATTCTGAACACCTACAAACTCAACAGGAGATCGAAGAAAAGAACAGCAGCAACTCTCTGAACAGAAAACCGACCACTTTCTGGAAGGTGGGACGTGTGGAGAAGTGAATCCGAGGCGATATTCGGGAGGATAGATGGTGGGGGAGGGGGCCTCCATCAGCCACTACCAGCAAGTGATAGAGCAGCACAGCACAAAATCAGAACTTTTAGAAGTTGGCTCCGCTGAGGAATGTCGCTCCAGTGGCTAAGCGGGGGGTAAAACCCTCGCTGGGACAGTGTGGTATCAGGACCCTCGGGGTCACAGAAAGACTGGGGGTGCCTGAGTGCGGCAGAGTTCCCAGGTATCAGAGCGGGGAAGCCGGCTGCAGAGATGGAGCCGAGGCGTGCGCTCTCAGCTTGGGGTTGCCATAAACCATGATCTGCGACACAGTCAAGCCACCGCTCTTCCAGCAGGGACCCAACTAGTGGCAGATCTGGGGAGATTCACCTTCCTCCCCTGGGAGGAGCAGCACGGGAGCACACTACAGGGACCTGCTGGGTTTGGAGAACACACAGAGTGGTGTGCCGGAGATAGAAATGCTCGGTCACAGGCTGGGTGAGCACGGAGTGTGGCCAGAGACCCGGGAGACAGGAGTGATTGACTGCTTTTCTCTGGGGGTGCACTGAGGAGTGGGGCCCTGAGTTCTCGGCTCCTCCAGGGCGGAGATTGGGAGGCCGCTGTTTTCACACTCGTCCTCCAAAGCTGTACAGAAAGTTGCAGGGAACAAAAGCTCCTGAGAGCAAACCCGAACAGATTACTTAGCCCGGACCAGCAAGGGCGGGGCAGTTCCGCCTCCGGCAAAGACATTTGGGAACCATGGCAACAGGTCCCTCCCCCAGAATATCAGCAAGACCAGCCTGCCAAGACCAAGTTTACTGATCAATGAGAATGGCAGAACTCCAGCACTAGGGGAATACTGCATATAGAATTCATGGCTTTTTTACCATGATTCTTTAGTCTTTCAAAGTTAATTTCTTTAATTTTTTCTTTTTTTTTAATTTTTCTTTTTCCCTTTTTCAACCAACATCTTATCAATCCCTTTTTTAAAAATCTTTTTTAGTTTTCATTTTTAGAGTCATATTCTATCCCTTCATATTAGTTAACCTTATTTTTGGTATATATATATATAAGTTGTTCTCTCTTTAAAATTTTGGGATACAGTTCCTTCTAACAGACCAAAATATACCCCAAATCTCAAGTGTATGGCTTTCTTCTAGCCTCCCACCTGATCACATTCTCTTCCCCCCCTTTTTTTTAATTTCTCTTCTTTCTTTGTTCAACCAACTTCTTATCATTTCCTTTTATAAAATCTTTTATAATTTTCATCTTTACACTCATATTCCATCCCTTCATTGTATTTACCCTTATTTTTGTATATATATAAGCTTTTTTTTCTTTAAAATTTTGGGAGGCAGTTTCTTCTAAAAGACCAAAATGCACCCAAAATCTAGTGTGTGGCACTGATCTATTCACACCAGCTTGATCATATTTGATCATAATTTTTTTTAATCTTTTTCTCTTTTTTTTTTCTTTCTTTCCCTTTCTTTTCCCCCGGTTTCAGGTCTCTTCTGATTTGTTTAGTGTATATTTTTCTGGGGTCGTTGTTCTCTCATTCATCTATTCTCTTCTGGACAAAATGACAAGATGGAAAAAATCACCTCAAAAAAAAGAACAGGAGGCAGTACCGACTGCCAGGGACCTACCTAATCAATACGGACATTAGTAAGATGTCAGACTAGAGTTCAGAATGACGATTATAAAAATACCACCTGGGCTTGAAAAAAGCATGGAAGATATTAGAGAAACTCTTTTAGGAGAAATGAAACAAGTAAAATCTAACCAAGTCAAAATCAAAAAGGCTATTAATGAGGTGCAATCAAAAATGGAGGCTCTGCTAGGATAAATGAGGCAGAAGAGAGAATTAGTGATAAAGAAGACCAAATGATGGAGAATAAAGAAGCTGAGAAAAACAGAGATAAACAACTACTGGATTACAAGGGCAGAATCCGAGATAAGTGATACCATAAGATGAAACCATATTAGAATAATTGGGATCCAGAAGAAGAAGAAAGAGAGAGAGGGGCAGAAAGTATATTGGAGCAAATTATAGCAGAGAACTTCCCTAATTTGGAGAAGGAAACAGGGATCAAAATTCGGGAGGCACAGAGAACCCCCCTCAAAATCAATAAAAATAGGTCAACACCCCGACATCTAATAGTAAAACTCACAAGTCTCAGAGACAAAAAGGAAATCCTGAAAGCAGCTCGGGACAAGAGATCTGTAACCTACAATGGTAGAAACATTAGATTGGCAACAGACCTATCCACAGAGACCTGGCAGGCCAGAAAGGACTGGCATGATATATTTAGAGCACTAAATGAGAAAAATATGCAACCAAGAATACTATATCCAGCTAGGGTGTCATTGACAATAGAAGGAGAGATAAAAAGCTTCCAGGACAAACAAAAACTAAAGGAATTTGCAAACATGAAACCAGACCTACAAGAAATATTGAAAAGGGTCCTCTAATCAGAGAGAGCCTAAAAGTAACATAAACCAGGAAGGAACACAGACAATGTACAGTAACAGTCACCTTACAGGCAATACAATGGCACTAAATTCCTATCTTTCAATAGTTACCTGAATGTAAATGGGCTAAATGCCCCAATCAAAAGACACAGAGTATCCGATTGGATAAAAAAAAACATGACCCATCGATATGCTGTCTACAAGAGACTCATTTTAGATGCAAAGACACCTCCAGATTGAAAGTGAGGGAGTGGAAAACCATTAGCCATGCTAATGGACACCAAAAGAAAGCTGGGGTGGCAATCCTTATATCAGACAAATTAGATTTTAAAGCAAAGACTATCATAAGAGATGAGGAAGGACACTATATCATATTTAAAGGGTATATGCAACAAGAAGATCTAACAATTGTAAATATCTATGTCCCGAACATGGGAGCAGCCAATTATATAAGCCAATTAAAAACAAAAGCAAAGAAACACATTGACAACAATACAATAATAGTGGTGGACTTTAACACCCCCCTCACTGAAATGGACAAATGATCTAAGCAAAAGATCAACTAGGAAATAAAGGCTTTAAATGACACATTGGACCAAATGGACTTGACAGATATATTCAGAACATTCCATCCCAAAGCAACAGAATGCACATTCTTCTCTAGTGCCCCTGGAACATTCTCCAGAATAGATCACATCCTAGGTCACAAATCAGGTCTCAACCAGTACCAAAAGATTGGGATCATTCCCTGCATATTTTCAGACCACAATGCTTTGAAACTAGAACTCAGTCACAAGAGGAAAGTCAAAAAGAACTCAAATACATGGAAGCAGCAAAGGCAGTCCTAAGAGGAAAGTATATAGCAATACAAGCCTTTCTCAAGAAACGAGAAAGGTCTCAAATATCCAACCTAACCCTACACCTAAAGGAGCTGGAGAGAGAACAGCAAATCAAGCCTAAACCCAGCAGGAGAAGAGAAATAATAAAGATCAGAGCAGAAGTCAATGAAATAGAAACCTAAAGAACAGTAAAACAGATCAACGAAACTAGTAGCTAGTTCTTTGAAAGAGATAACAAAATTGATAAACCCCTAGCCAGACTTATCAAAAAGAAAAGGGTAATGACCCAAATAAGTAAAATCATGAATGAAAGAGGAGAGATCACAACCAACACCAAAGAAATACAATTATAAGAACATACTATGAGCAACTGTAGGCCAGCAAGTTAGATAATCTGGAAGAAATGGATGCATTCCTAGAGATGTATCAACTACCAAAACTGAACCAGGAAGAAAGAGAAAACCTGAACAGACCTATAACCACTAAGGAAATTGAAGCAGTCATCAAAATCTCCCAACGAACAAGAGCCGAGGGCCAGATGGCTTCCCACGGGGAATTCTACCAAACATTTAAAGAAGAATTAATACCTATTCTTCTGAAACTGTTTCAAAAATAGAAATGGAAGGAAAACTTCCAAACTCGTTTTATGAGGTCAACATTACCTCGATCCCAAAACCAGACAAAGACCCCATCAAAAAGAATTACAGACAAATATCCCTGATGAACGTGGATGCAAAAATTCTCACCAAAATACTAGCCAATGGAATCCAACAGTACATTATAAGGATTATTCGCCACAACCAAGTGGGATTTATTCCTGGGCTACAAGGTTGGTTCAACATCTGCAAATCAGTGTGATGCAATACACTAATAAAAGAAGGAACAAGAACCATATGATCCTCTCAATAGATGCAGAAAAAAGCATTTGACAAAGTACAGCATCCTTTCCTGATCAAAACTCTTCAGAGTATGGGGATAGATGGTACATACCTCAATA